AATATGCTTGCCCTGTCTGGTCCCCTTATTATGCTGTGCACATCTCCCACTTGGAACGAATCCAAAAAAAGTTTTTAAGATCCATTGCATATCGATTGGGCATCCCAAGTGAATCTATAAATTATAATGAGTTAATGTCTGTCCTAAATCTTGAAAATCTGAACCAGAGGCGACAGTTTTTTGATATGTGTACTTTGTTTAAGATTGTTAATAATTCTATTGATTCTCCAGACTTACTTGCTAGAATTGGCTTACATGTACCATCTAGCAATTTAAGAGGAAACACATTGTTTAACCTTGATTTTCGTAGAACCAATTATGGTTACCATTCACCTTTACTTAGAAGCTGTCGTTCTCTGAATGATATTATTTTGAAGACTGATTTGGATGTTTTTAACATAAGTTTGGATAGATTCAAAAGAATTTTAAAGTCGATCCTAAAATGATCGTTTTTTCTATTTGTATTCAATTTTAAGCGTATTATGTTGTTTATGTTTTGATACCTACTACAAAATATTTGTTTAGGCTTATGTAATATTGTTTTTTTATACTAACTTGTCTGTTGCCTACTTGTTATTCCAAATATTTATTATTGCGTGTACCTACACTTTAAGTCTACCTTTGTAAAAATGGCATGTCCGTAAATAAAGAATTTATTATTATTATTTATTTATTTATTAGCCATATTGCATCAACTGGTGCATCTATGGGATAGTTCTGGGAAAGTGCACAACTAAGGTTATATCCATTTACTACATTCTTAACAAGTATACACGATCCCCCTCCTCTCTGATGTGGCCTGTCTGCTCGAAAGATACTGTAACCTTGTAAATTTATTATGCTGTCAGTTACACCATCAGTAAGCCAGGTTTCCGTTAGCATGATTATCGTAGGGCATGTTATTAGTACCCTTGCCTTCCACTCATCGACTTTGTTCAACATAGAACTCATATTTGTGTACCAAAATGTGATTTCAACTACCTCGACTGTACTTAGTTTTTTGCTACCTTTTCGACTATTTTAGGGGTTCCATTTACATATCTAATTATTAAATTTAATCTACCTTCTGCTTTTTGCTTCTCCAAATCTGCCATTATCTGCTTTAAGTACCTCCGTTGAGTTTCTGTCTTATCAGATTTAATGTAGACATTATCCACCCTTTCTTCTAAATTTTTCTTGCTTTTGAGCACTTTTATCGCTTCTTCTTTGCTGGGTAGAACAACTTTTATAGGTCTTTTCTTGTCAGGCATCTCCCTTCCCAGTCGAAAGATTTTAGCTTCCTCGGGCAAACTTAAATTCATTTTTTTGTACAGAAAACTAACCTTGTCTTTGTCATCCTTCACCTTGTCATCCTTTTCTGATTCATCCACGCCGAAAAAAAGGATGTTACTGGCTCGAATCTCTCTCTCCTTCATTTCTTGTAGGGTTTCCTCAACATCTGATTCAGATCCTTTGTCCACCGGGATTTTTATGGTCTCCACCTTTTCTTCAAGCTTCTTCAGGGCTTCAGCGTAACTCTGCCCCCCAGAAATTTTCCGATCTACCTGTTCTATTTCCCTACTCAAGTTCAATAGCTCGCCCTTTAAAGTTTCATTTTCTCTTTTTCTCCTTTCGTTAGACCCTTTAAGGCTGTCTACTGCTTCTTTCAGTTTTTCCAGACTGTTGGCTGTTTCTTGGGTTTGTAGTACGGTTTTTTTCATTTTTTTCTGTACATCAGGAAGCATTTTAATTGCATCCTTGCAACTAGGGCAAAGAAAAAGTGTTGTTCTAGATGCGCTTGGAAGTACCAACAACTATTTATAGCCTTCTGATCCTGCCCTTCAGTCAGGTCCTAGAAAAGTCCTTTTATGCACTTATAAACTTTCCAAAGGAATTAACCTTGTGTTTTTTTTAGGGGTTTTTAGGGGTGACAGGTACAGAAATTAGAACTTGAAGTTGCGTTTCACTGACATCATTGAAAACTTTATATTGCGCCCTGGTACCCTCTCATCTTGAGTATGCCTCTTGCCCCTTTTTATGGTGAACATAGTAGGTACATATGAAATCTGTTCAAAAAATCAAACACAAATTTTTAATACAAATTGCGTTTAAACTAAATATGTTAGATAATTACAATGATTCTGATTTAGTGCAACAGTTTTCAGTGCCCTAATCACCGTACTAATTACGGAAATACCTAATACTTTTATTTCTAGAACTGCTAGACTAGCCAACCAACACCACCAAATCGACTTCTTTGCGCCAAACCTCGGGAATCGTGTCGCCCTCTCTTTCTGAGCCACTGTATTCTAACTCTCTGTTGTCTGTTTATTCTGGAAACGGCCTGTTTAGTCTTCAGGAAGTATAAGTGCGAATTGGAGCTAAGGGGTCAATACAATACGCACCAGGATTATGTGATGAGATTGCCTATCCCCCACTCAGAACTCATCCGTAGCTCTATCATATATGAAGGCAGAAAAATATTTAATAAACTCCCTTTAAAGATCAGAAAGCTCAACACTGAAAAGAGGCTTCGTGTGGAGGTAAAGAAATTTCTGACGGGTAAAGCATACTATAGTTTGAGCGAGTTCTTTAATGATGTGACTTAAGGTTTCACGTATTTTGACTGTTCTTTCACCTTGCCTAGTCTATTTATTGTAATGTTTTTATTTTTTTTTAGATTGTAATGCTTTTATTTTTAAATTTTTATTGTAATGATTTAATTTATGCAACTTTCATACATTGACTTATATTTTAATTGTACTTTTGTTTTTACTTTTATTTGTATTTTTACGTCTGTTTGTTATTTTAATTGTATACCGGGTGGTCCTCCGGGAATGACATCGATTGCTTATGGGAAAACTGTGAAAGGTAAAAATTTGAAAATTTGGCAACATAGCAATGTCGATGGGGGACATCCAGGTAAAATATTTTCAAGATGGCGGCATTTCCGGTCATACCGGAAGTTGATACCAACTCGGTTATTTTAAATAGAACACCCCATATATTAATGTATTTTTGGATTCTACATAAAATTCTGAGCAGATTTCATGTAATATACCCTATACCTAAGTTCAACTGTTTTGGAAATATTGACAGTTGAAAATTGACTTTTTGCAACTTTGACAAGCTGTAAAACCTAATTGGTTAATTTTAGAGGAAAACCGATTTCACATTCCTATCTTAGATTTTGATAAACTATCATTTGACACCAACTTTGAACTTAAACGGAGATTAAATTTAACTGAAATTTTTAATCATGGATTTAATTCAAAGTTGATGTCAAATGATAGTTTATAAAAATCTAAGATAGGAATGTCAAATCGGGTTTCCTCTAAAATTAATTGTTCAGGTTTTACAGCCTGTCAAAGTTGCAAAAAGTCAATTTTCAACTGTCAATATTTCCAAAACAGTTGAACTTAGGTATAGGGTATATTACATGAAATCTGCTCAGAATTTTATGTAGAATTCAAAAATACATTTATATACGGGGTGTTCTATTTAAAATAACCGAGTTGGTATCAACTTCCGGTATGACCGGAAATGCCGCCATCTTGAAAATATTTTACCTAGATGTCCCCCATCGACATTGCTATGTTGCCAAATTTTCAAATTTTTACCTTTCACAGTTTTCCCATAAGCAATCGATGTCATTCCCGAAGGACCACCCTGTATGTTTTTCAATTTTTGGCATTTATTCTCACATTAATTGTACTCTGTTTTTACTTTTATTTGTATTTTTACGTCTGTTTGTTATTTTAATTGTACATGTTTTTCAATTTTTGGCATTTATTCTCACATTTGCACATTTGTTTTGCTTTTTGTTTCAATGCTTGTTATATTTTATTTTATTTTTTATATATTTTTATCGAGATTTTTATTCTGATTACTTTATATTGCCTAGGTGGCTGCTTTGTACGTAAGAAGTTTTTCTGTTTACAATAAAGCATATTTTGATTTGATTTGAATGCTTTCCTGAGTCAGTGCATAATATATTTCGTTGAATGAGTCCTTGTATGTCTTTGCATCTTATTATATTACTTTTGGTTTTAAACTTGTGTGAATTTAAAGTTTAACACATATTGTAATTGATCATTGCCCGTTGATAAATAAAATAAAATAAAAATAAAAATAATAAGTGCAGCTTATCACTTCCATTTCTAATTTCTAAGAAAACAAAAACTTTTGCCTTGTTTCTTGATCTTGAAACATTAATTGAAGGGGGCACCAGTAACAATAATTTGCATTGAGGTTTTGGGGATGTTATCAAGTATGCTACTGAACTAAACCAGCCTTAACAATATGGGTGGGTACTTTTGAAATGAGCGACTATCACTGATCTCTCGATTAGGCCATATCAGTGGATCATAGAATAGAGGTTAATGGCATGAAAACCATCATGTTCCGGGTTTAAGGTAGCTAGATTTTGAAAATGGTTTTAACAAAAATACATATTTTTACAAATAAAGTTAAAGCACATTGGAGTGAGCCGAGGCAAGGAAAGGAGTAACTTTTTTAAATTTAAATGAGTGGGATTTCCGAGGGGATTTTCTACTGAATGAACCGTTCAAGTCCAGAGAGAAATGTTCACAAGAGTTTCTAACAATGGACCAAAAATTAGTCCAGACTGGTTTATAAGCATTATCTTTACACAAGTTTTCACCATAGCCTTTCCCAATGCAACAAATTTTACTGACAAAGAAACTTCTTAGAGTTCTTAGCAAGGTTGTATAATAATGGGATTTTTTTACAGCAGCAGCAGTGAACTGAGATACCCAAAACACCTAAACCAAAAAGATAGATGCAAGTACAAGACTGAAATTCTGTTCTCTTCTCGGTTCTATTGTTCACTACAAAGCTTAGACATGTGCAACAATATGAGCTGGGATAAGATCGACCGTAATGCACTTTTTTATTGATAACTATATTCCTTCTTACCCCATATTGCACTGAGAGCTGGCTTGCTAACCCGGCTTTATAGAAATATAAATTTCTATTTGGTATTGCAAATGAATACTTACACTTCCCATCCATAATTGGCAATGCACTTGATTACCTAAAGCCATATTTCGCTCTTTTGTAATTTCCAATTTTAATATTATTTTAGAAATAGCAAAGGTAAGGGCAAACTAACAAAACAACCAACAACAATACTCTTTACTTTTTTTGTTTTGTTCGTTTCACTCATGTCAAGAATGTCAAGTCTCAAGTAAGTCAAGTTCGAAGTTCGGAATCTTCTGGCACATGCGCATGAGATAAATAGCGTTTTCGTTTATTCAGAATCCACAATCTAATTCGCACTGTGTTCACACCCCACCATCAAATTCTGGGATACTCGAGGATCAAGAAAACTCAATTTCTCTTGTGAGAACAGGGGTCGTATTTTCGAATATTCTCGCATACAAAATTTGATAAAATTTCAAATGCTTCCCATTTAATTTACATTGCTGTCAATCAAATTTCGTGTACGAAATGTACTCGAATGAATTCGAAACTACGACCTCAGATCGAAAAAATCACCGTTTCTACATTTAAAATCAACGAAAAAACTAACTCACTAGCACAGCCTGAATCGCAATATTCCATCGAGGTCTGCAAGTGACGTCATCACTATAAGATGCTGATAGTGACGTCACTCGCAGGCCCAGAATTTGATGGAGAGGGAGTTAGGGAAGTATGAAACAATTGACACATCACATAAACTAATCAGATTATCCTCGCGAAAACATTCAACAACATTCCTGTTGACAGACAGCGTTTTGGAATCTTTCAGAACTATAATAAGAATTCCGGGATTTTTCTAGTACGGTTCTCTCAGTTCTTGCTCTGAAGAAGGAAACGTTTTGAGACTTTGAATGTTTCGGTTTTTTTTGTGTGGTCTTAAGGGCCCTATACACTACGGTGAAACACGACGGTTTTCACCGCCGCGAGGAAACACGTCGTGCCAAAACCGAAGTGTGTGGTAGAAAAACACGACGGTTAATCTTCAAATTCAAAAATATTGTCACCAACGATAAGATGCCAACTTTAGTCAAACCAACGTTAATTAATAATTAATTACACGCTAACATAAATTTAATAAAGATTTTTCAACAGGAATACTCCCGGATCAACGGACTGACGGAAAAACGGATGTATGAAAAGTGAGCTTGAAGGGCGGGTATTATAAAACTACTTTGAGAGTTAATTTAAAGTTAACTTCTGGAATTACATGTAATTCAAAAAGTTAACTTTAAGTTAACTGTCAAAGCAGTTTTATAATACCCGCCTTAAATCACTCTTGGCCAAATGTTTAATTAAAATAGGCCTTTTCGGGTTTGGAAAAAGGACGGTTCTAGAACGGTTCAAAACAATCGCACTGTTCATTACTGAACTTTGTGTTAGCCGTAGTGTAGTCATTTTGTCGATTGATAAACTATCCGATTGTTTTGAACCGTTTGAACCGTCCTTTTTCCAAATCCGAAAAGGCCTATCATGTCATGATACTCTGTTTGTCAAAAAACTCAAGCTTGTTATATTTTTGCATTTCTAATATCAAAATATAAAGCGAAACATAGCAGCAAATTCTTAATCATAATCCATAAAAACACTGCAAGTTTTCAATCAATTCCATGCTTATGATAAATGATGCATCTACAGAGTAAACGCGAAAAAAAGGACTACAGCTGACGTCACCTCCAGCGAGAGTTTTCGCATTCTACCCTTACCCTTGTAATTGCGGACAGCTGGTTAAAGCCGATTCGTGTGTTCGTAATAGCTCTTTCGTTCGATACGATGCGTATACGCTTCGAGTTTACCTTCGACTCGGAATCTTTTCCGTATCGGATGTTCATACATGTCTCTGGTTCATACCGGCCCCAGCATAGGTATCGTGTATTTTCACAAAAATTGGCAACACTACATTAAAGTGAGAACGACAATGAAAGGGGTGGTGGGTGGTTGGTTGGCTCTGTCGCACGTGCGCCGCATGCCGCATGTCTATTGTTTACTAGAAAAGAAATAATGGTGGTGTATTGTTGCCAAGGTTTTTCATGATTTTTAAATATTTTCCACATTTTAAAGATTATCAGTGGACTAATATTGGTAATTTGAATAGTATTTTTATAAAATTGAACCAACATGGTTAATTTTTGTTCTGCCTATGGATGCAGCAATGAGTACAATCCACTAAAGCCAATTTCTTTTTTCAGGTAAGAAATATTTGCTATAGGTCTGTTTCTGCAGAAATCACAAACCAGTCAGAGAGTGAATTTCATTGGTTGAAACTAGTATTCTGTTTTCAACCAATGAAATTGACTTGACAAAACTGAGTGGTTTGTGATTTCATAAGGTCTGTTCTGTTTATGCAGAAATCACAAACCAGTCAGAGTAAATTTCATCTTTTGAAATTTCCATTCCATTTTCCATTTTCAGCCGTTTTCTATCCTTAGGATATAGGCTCTTTCAAATTTGACCATTGTCTTCGGTTTTGCGCAACTCGGTACCAATTCAAGCCTGCAACCCTCTTTATATCGTCGTACCATCTTTGTTGGGGTCTTCCAACACTTCTCCTCTCTTCCCAAGGTCTCCATCTAGTGATATACCCGCTCCAGTTTTCTGTATGTCTGGCCACGTGTCCTGCCCATTGCCATTTAAGGGAACCAATTCTTTTTATTATGTCGGAGACTTTGGTTCTTTCCCTTATTCATGTATTTGTTTTGTGGTCTCTCAGGGAAATTCCTAAAATTCGTCTTTCAATGGCTCTCTGGTGTACTTCCAATTTATGTTTAATTTTTCTGGTTATTACCCAGGTTTCACAGCCATACGTGACAACAGGCAGTATACACTCGTTACAGACTTTTGATTTTAAAGTCATTGGAATATTCATGCTGAAGATGTACTTTAACTTGCCGTAAGCCGCCCATCCCAGTATCCCAGTCTAATTCTCCTATCAATTTCCATTTCTTGATATTAATCCTTTATTTAGCACCTGGCTAATTACAAAAATAAATGAACATACAAGTCAAATTAATTATTACATACTACATAATACGCCTACTAAAATAAAATAAAAAATAAAATATCATGCAAGTAAATACAAATTACAATAATGCAAAATACAGTATAAAATATAAAATAAAAATATATAGCAACAATTTTAAAAACTACAATAGAATATAAAATATAATATATTAGTAGTTTTTTCTTGGGTTTAGGTTCATAAATGAAACGACTTTTTTATTTCCTAACGTTTCGCCTTTAATTTAAGGCATTTTCAAAGGGATTGTTTTCATTAAATTTCAAAAATACAGGAAAAACTTCGTTGTGTTTGCATCTCAATAAGAATATTCTTCGGTTTTTCTGTGTAGTAAGCCTTGTGTATAATTTGGAAAGTTCTTTTGCACAATTTAAAGCTTCAAGTCCGTAAATTAGTTGAATTTCTTCAAAGAATGTCATAGTTGTTTACGTTGTTTAGCAGTTTCCACCCTTGCTATTAATTATTGATTTGTATTCTTGAACTGTAGGTAATATATTAGTAGTTTTTTCTTGGGTTTAGGTTCATAAATGAAACGACTTTTTTATTTCCTAACGTTTCGCCTTTAATTTAAGGTATTTTCAAATTTAAGGCGAAACGTTAGGAAATAAAAAAGTCGTTTCATTTATGAACCTAAACCCAAGAAAAAACTACTAATATATTATCTACGGTTCAAGAAAACAAATCAAATAAAATATAATAATATACATATATATGTCACTTGTGTCATTATCCTACATGTTCATTACATATTACGTAATAAAAAACAAAAAAATAAAAATCCTAAGTTTAAAATGTGTATAGTAAACAACAAATATAATGATTTACAAACAACATGCAAGTCTTGAAAAACACAGAAATCAAAGATATACAAAATTCAACAAAAACAACAAAGATGAAACAAGTATTACTGTATTATTCTCCCATAAGATGAATCTTTAACTTTCTTTTAAATAAGTTATTATTTGGGGCGTCCTTTATTTGTTGAGGCAAAGCATTAAAGTAAATTAAACCCTTATGGTATAAACCATTTTCAGTTCCTTTTTTATTTTTTGTTGTAACATAAAAATTGTTACGATTCCTAGTAGGGTACGAATGTACAGAAGAATGACTTCTTAATTTTTCAGTCAAATATGTACTGCCGTAGTTAATGAAAACGCCGTATCTACAGAAATTACATTTTGAGAAATGCGACATTTTCTGTTTTGCCTTATGCCATCCTTATTTTTAAATATAGAAACTTGGGTTTTTGGTTATCATTCAATAGCAGTGACTAAATATGGCGATTGCTACGCTATATTTCTAGTTCTCAGCATTAAAAGAAATTTGTATATACGGCATTTTGAGAAAAAATATCTGTAATAAATGTTAGATGATTATACCGTATCTACAATATTTTGTAGATACGGCATTTTCATTTAATAATAATAATTATATTACAAATATTTCTAATGCCTTACCTATTCAAAAAATAATAATTTGCAGAATTGGATAGAGCAAAGGAAGTTCCTGGTTGAGGAGAAGCTGGAAGTAGGCTTGAAACTTGCAAAGGATTTGAGCCAGAAATTATATAATGCGAATGAACTTGTATAGTTTTTTCAGGCTGTAAAGAATCGAGATCATCTTCTGAGTCTGGTTGATAATCAGGATCTAAATCATCATTAGTTTTCTTTTTGCTTATCATTTTGCGGAGTAAATCGTTTTTTTATGTCTTTATTTAACATGGCCAATATCTTTTTGCCTCTTGACAGATTATTCATATTGAAACTATAAAAAAAAAATAGAAAAATTATAAATATTTGAAGCAAACACTTACAAGAAAAATAACTTACCCAAAAATAAAGAAACACCCACTATTATTTTATTATTAGGCAATTCAAACCACGTGACTTTCAAGATGGCGTGGCGTCCACACATAAGCCAAAAAACACAAAAAAATATCTAAATTCTGCCCGATTTATTAGTTTAGGTACCTAGCCAACATATATTTTATTAAATAATCCAAATCAAAGTTGCAAGCAAAACTCTAAGCAAAATAATTTGAAATACGCATAAAAACACATTAAAAACAAACTTGCTTGGCCGCCACGCCATGTTGAATTTTCCTATCTGACAGATGATGGATTAAATTGCCTAATAGCTGATTCAACACAAAACCACCCCTTAGAGACTTCGAAAACAACGCAAACTAACAATTTGATAGGAAGAACGTGGTGGATCGCGTCCAGCTGCTGAATTAAGCCAGGGACACACCTATCATGCATTCTTCCGATCCGACTCCGATCATACAATCAAGGTCCTTATTCTTGGAACAGGGGAGCAGCGGAACACTCGTTCTCGTTGGAAACGCTGTTCCCTGTTCCAAGAATAAGGACCCTGATTGTATGATCGGAGTCGGATCAGAAGAATGCATGATAGATGTGTCCTGGGCTTTAAGCTGCAAAAATAATAACCTAAAGTCTGTTTTTTCTTTAAAGATAAAAGTCAAAATGACATTATGTTGGCAATACAATGTAAAATTGTCAATGCTTTCAAATTTTTTATGTAGAAAAGGCTTGTGTTGCCAACATAGTTACTAAATTTTTGACTTGGGGAATTATCTTAAAAAAAAAAACAGATTTTAAAAACAGCAACAACCGCTGATTCATTTAATCACTTACGGCAAACTACCCTGTCGTTTTGCGGAATAGGGAATGTTATTTTCGAATCACTTTGCCGTATATACTCAAAAGCATGCAGATACGGCAATTTTATTTAAAAAATGTGGCTTACGGCAAATTTCTTTATAGAAAGTAACATAAATGTATATACGGCAGAAAAAACCTGTTCAAACTTCAACTATAAACTATAAAAAATACGGTTTTTTGAGTACCGGGGATAGACGCAGGATAATTGTTCTAGTAGAAAATGCCGTAAACCAAAAATCGTAAAATTGTTGGTTACGGCGTTTTCACTAAGCACGGCAGTGTAGGTGTTAGCTCATTTTTCATTTTATAAATTAACAACATATTTTGGTAAATGAGAAATTTTTCAACAGAAAGCCAATTTAGTTTTCCTAACATTATAGGCGTTACACGCCTTTCACGTAAAATAATTCTCATTGCCCTATTTTGCAATTTTTGCAACCTGTTCTGATCATTTTTGTTACACAGGTACAGGATCGAGGAACTAAAGATATAATGTGGTAAGATCAAAGTATTATAGATAGTAAGCTTGGTCCATTGTGACAAAAAAGATGTGAATCTAGACAGAAAATTTACACCTTTGGTAATTCTTTCGATTGTATACAAAATGTGATCCCTAAATGTAAGTGAGGAGTCAACAACAAATCCAAGATATTATGTCTATCAACTTAGCGAGACAACTTCGAAAAATCGATTTTCCATTATGCCAAGAATTTGCCGCTTTTTTGCCGTTAATTAAATGTGAAATTTAAAAATTTGCCGCTCTTTTGGTTTTTTCTTAATTACGTGTTTTGCTAACTTGACGTCAAGATAGCGAGACAACATCACTAAATATGTCAGCACTAAAAAACTAGGTACGTGAAAATTTGCCGTTTTTTTGCCGATAATTAGTTGTGAAATTTAGCGAGAAAAGCGCGAGAAACAAAAGCGCGCGGGACAAAAGCGCGACGGAACAAAAACGCGAGGGAAAAAGCGCGACGGAACAAAAACGCGACTGGAGTAAAGCACGATTGGACAACAACGCGAGGTATCTAACTATCTACGAGGACTGTAAGCAAAATAGTCGGGTGGCTTAGTCTTAAAATTCATAAAAATATTTCACTTCTGGCGGAGAAGGTGCCTTTTTGGATTTAGATAGTAGATATATCAAAGATTAAAAAACGCCCCAGACCCAGAAAATTTCTGACCTCCTCTACCAGTTATAACATCATCAATGTAGAGATAAAAGAACACGTTAAGCATAAACGTATAAACTTTTGTTGAGAATTTGGTCCCATCATTTCTCTCAAAAATCGTTTTTTTTTTCTCAAATGTAGTCAAGTATCACCATTAAAAAACCAGATGTCAAATTTTTGACATAACGCTTCCTAGACAAATAATAACTACCTAATTAATGATTGTCATTGTCATTAATTATTGTCATTTCAAACCATGAATTCATTTTAATAGATCTTGACATTTTTTCAGGTTTTAATATAATTTTTTTTCAATTTCAAAAATGTCCCTATTGAGATTTTTTTTTTTTTTAATTTTTTTTTTTTTTTTTTTTTTCTGTAATATATAGGGTGTCCCACGGTGGATGGCGTATGAGACGTTTATGGAGAACTAAAAAGCGGATCATTTTGAAAATTTGGCAACCGGTATAAACGACCATAATCTACACTTTAAAAATATTTTTGTTTATGCGGTGTTGCCGCTTCTACCCTAAACCAGTGGCAACAGCGCTATTTTAAATGGAACACCCTGTATCTGATTACAGATTTGGATTTTACGTAAAATTCTGAGCAGATTTCATGTGATATACCCTATACCTAAGTTCAACTGTTTTGGAATTATTGACAGTTGAAAATCGACTTTTTGCAACTTTGACAGGCTGTAAAACCTGAACGGTTAATTTTAGAGAAAAACCGATTTTACATTCCTATCTTAGATTTTTATAAACTATCATTTGAAACCAACTTCAAATTTAATCCATGATTAAAAATTCCAATTAAATTTAATCTCCGGGTAAATTCAAAGTTGGTGTCAAATGATAGTTCATGAAAATGTAAGATAGGAATGTGAAATTGGTTTTTCTCTTAAATTAACCGTTCAGGTTTTACAGCCTGTCAAAGTTGCAAAAAGTCAATTTTCAACTGTCAATAATTCCAAAACAGTTGAAACAGGACTGCTCACAGGACACTGCCCAGTAAAATACCATTTAAGGTTAATGGACAGAGCAGAAGACGATCTCTGCAGATTCTGCTCAGACGCAATAGAAACCGCAGAGCACCTGCTCTGCGAATGTCCAGCCCAATTCTGCAAGAGGCTCAAATTCCTCGAGGGGGCAACACTGTCACCAGAAGAAGTGGGCCAACTGACACCCAGGAAAATAGCTTCCTTCGGCAGAAGTCTACGCTTCCTGGAAACAAATTAAGATGTAGAGTCACGCACAAAATATCTGCAAAGGTAGCAGTGCTGAGCGGCTGAAAAGCCGAAACGACTCCCCCGAAATCTACAATCTATAATCTAGATCGCACTAGTCGGACGGGTTATTTTGAGTTAGTTTGAGCAAGTCTGTATTTGCTTTATTATTATTGGTTCAAATTGATGTCGCAATACAGACTTACTCAAACTAACCCAAAATAACTCGTCCACATAGTACGATCTAGTCCTCGTAATCATTTTATTTAAAAAAACAAAGTTAATTCACTGATTGATTGCTCAGGGTCTCTTGAGAGCGCAGTGCTTTTTAAATAAAATGCTAACTCACGAGGACGAGATTGCCCTAGACGGACGGGTTAGTTTGGGTAAGTCTACATAATTTTGATATTGGAACAATTTGATTTTTCCCTCTTTTGCTTAGAGGTCGTCGTTGTAAATCTGGCTCTTTTAATTTGTCACTGTTCTAAATCTCGTTCTTTACATATGTCGCTCTTTTGATATGTCGCTGTTTTTTTTAGATGTCGCTATTTTGAATATCGCTGTTCCAAATGTCGCTATTTTGATATATCGCTTTAACAATATGTCGCCTTTTTGATGTTGCTATTTTAAATATTGTTCTTCTGAACCGGAGCCACCGAAAATATCTTGTATTTTGGAAAACTATCTCCAGTTCTCGTAGTAAGGCACTTCGCGTTCTTGGCCAATCGCGCTTTATCCAGTCGCGTTTTTGTTCTGTCGCGCTTTTGTCCCCTCGCGCTTTTGCTTCTAGCGCTTTTATCCAGTCGCGTTTTTGCGCAGCCGTGCGCTTTTGTCCCTCGCGCTTTTGTTCCTCGCGCTTCTATCCAGTCGCGTTTTTGTCCATCGCGCACTTGTCCGGTCGCGTTTTTGTTCCGTCGTGATTTTGTCCCTCGCGCTTTTCTCCCTCGCGCAAACGGTTGTCGCGCAAATGACACAGATCCCATGCATAAACTGGCATTTATTAATTGTTGATTTCAACCAATCAGATTACGATTACGTGATAATTTGTACTAGTGCAGGATTATCGGATTGGATAATTGCTTACTAACGGGTGGCATTTGACATTTTTTCTGATTGGTGACATTTTATACTTACGAGGATATACTAAAAATTTAAATTTTTGATTCATGAAATTCTCTCGTAAAATACAACTCGAGCAATGGAAATATATCTATAATTTTTGAGAAATTTGCTCTCATGCATTTTTAACTGGAAAAGGCACTCGTCCCTCGTGCTTTTTTTCAACTAAAAAAATGCATTCGGGAAAATTTGCCAAAAATTATCAATAATTTCCATTTTATCCCAATTTAATTTTATTTCTAATTTTATTTTATTTTCTGTATAAATGAGCACACGATATTTCGCTTTCTGATTTTTGAAACCTATAAGGCCTCCCTCCAATAGAGTTTTCCTAAACTAAAGAAAAAAAAAAAAATTTAAAACTATTCTCAAAAAATTTAGAAATAACTATTTGTTCCAACGTTCCAACAAATGTTGAGTTTCACTAATTAAAATATACTTACAGGGTGCATAAAAATCAAGGGTGGGAGATCATTTATAACGGAACACCCTTTTACTCACCTAATTTTATACTGCCCTTCGTTTTTTGTGTTGATGTCGGTCTAACTTAACGGCAAGCTTGCGAAACACAAGTTTTTCTCAAACACGATTTTTTCATGAAGGAAAAGAGCGACAAATTTTTGGGTTTTCACATTTAATTAGCGGCAAAAAGCGGCAAATTTCCAAAGCTTTTCTCTACCACTCAATTTTTCTCTACCGACATTTTTAATGATACTGTTTTGCTCACTTGATGTCAACTTAGCAAAACACATGATATTTTTTTTTCAAACGCGATATTTTCCATTCACTCAAATTATCACTACCGACATTTTTAGTGATCTCGCTAACTTTACGTTAAATTAGCAAAACATTATTTTATTTTCGAACACGATTTTCTTATGAAAAGAAAGGTAGCGGCAAATTTTTAGTTACCACATCTAAGTAGCGGCAGAAAAACGGCAAATTTCCATTCACTCAACTTATCACTACCGACATTTTTAGTGATATGTCTCGCTAACTTGACGTCAAGTTAGCGAAACACATGATTTTTTTTTTCAAACTTGATTTTTTGTAAAAAAAAGAAGCGACAAATTTTTGGTTTTCACAACTAATTAGCGGCAAAAAAACAGCAAATTTCCATTCATTCAATTTTTCACTACCGACATTTTTAGTGATAATGTCTCGCTAACTTGACGTCAAGTTAGCGAAACAAATGATTATTTATGGAAAAAAAAGAACCGGCAAATTTTTGGTTTACACAACTAATTAGCGGCAAAAAAACGGCAAATTTTCATCTACCTAATTTTTTACTGCTGACATATTTAGTGATGTTGATTCGCTATCTTGACGTCAAGTTAGCAAAACACGCAATTAGGAAAAAACCAAAAGAGCGGCAAATTTTTTAATTCCACATTTAATTAGCGGCAAAAAAGCGGCAAATTCTTGGCATAACGGAAAATCGATTTTCCGAAGTTGTCTCGCTAAGTTGATAGACATCAAGATATTTATGTGTCTCTACTCTTTCAATAATATGACTACTGATTTTAACATGAAGATTATTTTGTGTAATTGATTCTCTATCTGCTCTACCACCTATTAACATAAATTTTGTTTTAGATAAGTTCAATTTAAGAGAATTAATATTGAACCATACTTGCAGGTGTTCCAAATCAATGTTCAAGGTCTCAACTAGGTCATTCATATCTTTAGACTTGAAATACAACAGTGTGTCATCTGCAAATAAATGGACTGAACATTTTTTTATTGATCTGTTTATATCATTAATATAAAGGATAAATAGCAGTGGTCCCAAAGTGCTACCCTGCGGAATGCTTACGTCATTTAAAATTTCGGTCGAAGTATGTCCATTGATGCTGGTTACCTGCAATGATTTTGTTTGCCCGGTGTTATAGCTTGGCCAAGGTTTATGTATGTTTCTTTCTTTTTTATTGTGCTTTGTGCTGTCATGGATCGGTATTGTTTTGTCTGCATCTGGTGTATTTGTAATAAACTGGGTCTTTGTGTAGTTCATGTGTAATCCTACTTTTGCCGCCTCATCTTGTAGTTCTTCCAACATATCTATCAATTCCTGTTTGTCTTTCGCGAACAGTACAATATCGTCGTCAAATCTTAGATTGTGCAGTATGTTCAATCCTTTGTTTTCCCATTGTAGCTTTTTAAAAATATCCTCGAGCACTAAAGTGAATAGTTTTGGAGATATTACGTCCCCTTGCCGAACTCCTCTTTTGGCGTTTATTCTGTCAGATGATTCATGAAGTCTTATCGACATTGTCAAATTCTTATAGATGTTTTCAATGAGGTTGATATAACGTTGATCCACTCTGGCATTTCTCAAGGATTTTATTATTGCCCAGATTTCTACTGTGTCGAAGGCTTTCTCGAAATCGACAAAAGTCATCCATAGGTTTATATTATATTCTGTAGCTTTCTCGATCATCTGCCTTACTGTGTGTAGATGTTCTGTCGTGCTATAATGGCTTCGGAATCCAGCCTGTTCCTTTGGTTGGTGAACTTCGAGTTTTCGCTCTAATCTGTTGGTGATTATTCTGGTGAATAATTTATATATTTGTGATAGTAAGCTTATCGGCCGGTAGTTTTCGAGATCAGTCGGGTCACCTTTCTTGTATATCAGAACAACTACAGCATTCTCCCAATCTGTTAGGCACTTATTGAATAGTTTCACTAGTTCTTGTCTCGTCTTAGTATCGCTTTCCTTGAGCATTTCAGGCAGAATGTTGTCTTCTCCTGCCGCTTTACCATTTTTCATCTGGAATAACCCTTTCTCCAGTTCTTCCATATGTATGTCGGGCATTTCTTCTGAGTTTGCATTTACTATTCGTATTTTGTCTTCCCTTGTCCTTGTGTTTGCTATTTTAGATTCGTACAGATCTCTATAGAAAGATTCCACAACTTTTAGTATCTGTTGTCTGTCTTCTACTATGTTGTTTTTCGCATCTTTTATTTTGGTTATCTCTTTCTTAGGTGTGTTATGTCTTTTAAATATATTTAGTCCTTTGTTCTGTTCTAATAGGGATTGCACTTGTTTCGTTTGATGTTTTAATATATCCTGTTTCGCCATTTTTCTTGCTGTTTTGTTGGTTTCTATGTATTCAATAGTGTCTCTTTTACCCTCGGTTATCAGTTTTCTCCTTTTCTCTAGTAGCTGTTTCGTTTCTATCGACAGTTTGTCCGGCGTTTTCTCTAGGGGGGGCTATTATCTGTTCTGCTGTTTCTGTTATAATTGTTGTTATTCTCCTATTGTTATCATCTAATGACTCTCCTGTTTTTGGAATTAGTTTTTTGTTTCTTACACCAATGAAATTCGCTCTGAGTGGTTTGTGATTTCTGCAGAAACAGACCTTATATTAATTATTGTCACTGATTATTTCTTACTTTAATCAAGTCTTTTAATACAAGATACCAACTCTGATTCACCCATGTTTTCAATCAATAGTAAATATATTTTGTTAATGTTTTGTATTTTTCAGCTTTCCATTCAAACGTCCTGAAATACTTGATGGTTGGATTAAAGCCATTAGGCGAGAAAACTGGAAACCTTCAATGTCAAGCAGACTTTGTTCTGAGCATTTTGTACCATCAGATTTCCTGGAAAGATTGGGATCTATAAAAAAAGTGCTTAAACCTAATGCCATTCCAAGTATTTTTTCATTCTCTGAACATCTGCAAAAAAAACCAATGGGGCTCCGAAAGAAAATTTTAAAAATGGTAAAGCTGATTCATTTTTAACAAAGATCATGCGTTTTCACAAAACTATGCCATACCTTCAAGCATTTAAATACTTACATAGATACATTATGTTCGTTATTTTTTAGGAACTTGATAGCTGTGATCCAATAGACATTGATTTAATCCAGACTCCACTAGAATCCTGTCCATCAGCTTCAACTACTCCCTTGACTACCCCTCAAAGAACATTTACTGATTGTGGAATTCAGTGTTCTATCATAGAACCAAGAAGTGCAGATCGCGAAAAATTCAGCAAAGAAATAAAAACCCTTAAGCAAAAGGTGCGAAGGAAAGATATAAAGATTAAAAATATGAAAGAAATTATCAGAGAACTTAAAAAAACTGGTAATAGTAGCGAAGGCTTGGATACTGTATTGAGAAAGTATTTTCATTTTTGAAAGTAGGTTTTTATACAAATGATTGTGAAACTATGATATTAACAGGTCAATTTTTTTAGGGCTACCTCTGGTGCTTGTCCGCGGGGCTAACGGTGAGCCCGTCGGCAGGCGCAAACGGAATCGTAACGTCAAGTTTATAAATGGGCCTTTATTCTTTTCTTGTTTACTTTATGAGATCTAAGGGCAGGTGGAATAACAACCCCGGCACATAGCAATTGAAATGGGCTCTAAGACAGTTACTTATTGCTTAGAAATTTGATAAAACCAAGTTGCAATGTTAACTCTGCAGTGATATGGAGACGAATAGTACTCCAGCTTTCAATTTCTGATCTTATAAAAGGGAACAAGGTCAGCCAAAATCCTGTAATGAAACTGAAAATAGGGAAGAAATGGTAGGCTACTTAGAATTGTCAGATTTTAAAGAACATATTTTATATTACATTGCAGGTTATATGTATAGTGAGATACTCAGATGTGAGATCTCTTATAAAACAAAGTCTCTGCAATTACTGTTACTATTTTTCTGTTTGTATTGATTATTACAAAAGTTTTTGTATAATAAAAAGTATAAATGAGCACAATAAATCCTTGTCCGCCTACAGTAATGCGTAAGACAAAGACGGCCACACCTTTTTCTCTTCTATTAAGAAATCTGCCTCAGGCGTGATATAGTATTTTCCTACGAGCGTGCGGAAAAAGCTCTTTTTCCGCACGCGTTGGCCTGCGGAAAAAGGTAATTTTTCCGCATGTCGTCGCGTCCTGAATGAAGAAATACCCACAATAGGCAAGCAATGGTGAATTGTGAATGTACAGGGTGGTCCAAATTGGACACTTTCTTATGGAAACACCCTTTATTTTTAGAGATAGAAAAAAATGAGCCCCCTACTCTGATGCTCAAATCTTATGAAATTTTGATTGGTGCACACCGCAATTTGATATCTTCAACGGTTTAGCCGCTAGAGGGCGAACATTATGTCTTATGACAAAAATCGAAATAATTTTTTTCTCGAAAACCGTTGGAGATAAACCTATCGAATTTTATATCATTGAAATCAGCAAAAGCAGAGCTTTTCAATAAGCTATTAATAAATAGGATGTCCTATTGAAAAAAATCGGATTTTGGTCAATATCTCGGAGCCGGAGCCAAATAGAAAAAAGTTGAGAACGTCACTGAATTCCTCTTAAAAAAGTGCTTCCAGAAAGTCTTTACAGAAATGAATTATTTTCATAAATGAAAAAGTTATGAAGGTTTCACAGCATTGCTCAAAATCGAGAATCGCCCTCTAGCGGCTAAACGGTTGAAGATATCAAAATGCGGTTTGCACCAATCAAAATTTCATGAAATTTGAGCCTCAGAGTGGGGAGGGCTCATTTTTTTGTATCTTGCTCAAAAATTGACGTTTCCTATTAAAAGTGTCCAAATTGGCCCACCCTGTACAATTTTCAGCAGATTGTGAATTTAGCAAAAGCAAATGTTAAACAAATGTTGCAGATTCTATCGGGTCTTCGAAATAAAACCCAATCAAAGATTGCTATGGTTTATTGAACGTAAGTACGTCGCATTATTGGTCAGGATTTTTGACATGACCTTGTGAGTGACATTAACGTACATCGACAAAATTGAAGAAAAATAATGCTATGTTGTTCACGTTCAGCACACTAATTTAACCAGTCCTGCCGACTTTTGGATTTACATTATTTTTTTTCTAGGTTTTGGTGAAATGTAAGCTAATGTGCCTGGGCTGGGCTATAATCTTTACCAGATCCCAATGATAGGTACGCCTCAAATTTGGTTCACACTGTATGTACTTTGGAGGAAAATTCTTCTCCTAAATACACAATACTCTTTTATTGTTTAGGTAAATAATTTCGCGACAAAACAAATAATTAAATTGAGAAAAATCAAAGAAATATTTATTTTAATAAAAAAGAGGTAGTATCACAACAATTTAGATTTTAAAATAAAAAATTAAATATAACTGCTATCCATGCGTTCGGTATTTTGATCTGAGTTTATTTGAAAAGTTTACTCAATGCAGGCTCATTCGCGTTCCTTTATTAAAATTCGGGCACTCTGATACAGCTTTCAACTGCTTTGTTCGCTCGCTGATCACGTGATTACGGCTCCGCTCAGCACGCTCTGCTTTTTGAGCAAAATACCGAACACAAAGTATGTAATAACATCGGCTGGAAAAAAATTATACACAACTTTTTTTTTTTGATAATACAAAATAATATACATAATGTAAATAAATATACATATTCTCAAAAAAATCAATGTATATTATAAAATGCGTTTTTATATTAAAATTTGAATTTAATAAATTACCATAATAATATATTATAAACTTTATCAACTAAGTACATAATTCTATTATTTACGTAGGTGTCGTGTTTACATTAATAACAACAATAAATTAATTATTTATTTAAAGGGCAATTTGAAAAACTAAAGGACCCATTTCTTAACCAACAACTGTTTAGTTTCTGTTATTCTTTATACCTGTGCTAAAACCACAAACATTTACAATCATTTTCTCGTGTCTTGGTTAGTGTCTTTCCTAGTAGTGAAAAACATACAATATGAATAACATAATAACTGTATTTTGAACATTGGTGAAGAAATCGGTCCTAAGAATATCATTAAGGTATTTTTCTTAAAAAAAAACTAATCATAAAGAAGTTAGATCTTTATAAATCACTATTATTGATCACAAATTGGTCTTATACTAGGATCTAAAGTGTTAAATAAGTACTGGTCAGATTGGATTATTTACTAAGTGCAATATGGGCCATATCCTAGAGTAGCCAGACATTTAACACTTTTTAAAAAATTAATTTTTCAAACTGCCTGGCAATATTTTTAATGACTACTATAACTGACATAGTTGGACCATATTTTCACCCTTATCATAATCTGGTGCCATCAAAGTGGTTCACTCAAAACGTTCCACTGCATCCAAAAACACTGTGTTTTAGATCAATTAAAAGAAAAATATTGCATTAAAAAATCCAAACAATTGACTAATTTTGAATGCCCTGGGTTAATTTCAAATTATGTCAGTTACAGGCTAGCCAGTCGATTACTTAATTTACCTAAATTACTTCCTACCACTATCAGAATCTTCAAATTCTTCAGTCCATCTCAGTTCCGTGCTCCTTTGCGGACTTTCTCGCCCATTATTAACGCAACTAAAAAAGTCATCATCAAATGGATCGTTCTCCCTAGCAAATATATTTACAGATCCAGACTTTTTCAAATTGACATCAGTCCTGCATGAAGATAACCGACTTTTGTTGTTTAATATTTTCTTTCGGCTGTTTGGTGGGATATTTAGGCTTGTAGCTCCGAAAGAATCTTCCTCCTCCTCAGCCAGATCCGGTTCTTCTTTTATGCTGGAAATTCCGTTGCCTTCCGGTGCATCGGATTTTTCGCTTGGTGAAAAATCGTCTTCGAACGGACTCTTAGGTTTAGGCGGAAACCTGGGAGAGGATTTGGATTCTTGGAACGACTCGCCACGGCGATCTTTGAGGGATTTTTCCAAGCGCATGCTGGTTTTATCAAACATACTTTGCTGCCTTAATACTAAAAAATAAATAAAATGGCATTATTAAAATTAAATAACTACTGTGATAATTATTAATATAATATACATATATATTTTGTATTTGTTTTCGTAAACTAGCTTTTTGCTAAATACACTGTGGGCCAAATTTATTTGGAACCTAATTTCGTTCTGAATAACTTTTTTTTAATTTGGCGGATTTCTATGAAATTTTGTGTGAATATTAGGGAGGCTTTCCCTAATTGTAGAAAAAATATCTAATTGAAATGTACAGGGGGGGCCAAGTAAGAAGCAGTATTTTTAATCATTGCCTTCAGCCTTTGGGGCTGTTGCAAAATTGAATATTTCACTCTAAAACTACATAATTTATTTGGAAATAATAAGAAAATATCAGAAGGTTTTGCATTAAAAACGTATTTTTTTGAAAATTTTCTTGAATAATATTACCATACAGCGTCATAGGGTTTCATTAGATAACAAAACATAGGCACTGTTAACAACGAGCTACATGTGAAAAAAAGAAGAGCAGGAATCTCATCTATTTTAGGGGCCATTAATTTTATTTCTACTGTAATAAATATGCAACGCCCGGGCCACACTACAGAAGTTGAACTTTTCAAAGAGCAACGTTGGTGATGCGCTCATTTCACTACCAAGAGCAGAAAGAAATGTCTGATGAAAGAAAGGGAATAGGAGAGAGAGAGGGAACAATACATCCGTAATGTTGATGACGTCACTTCCGTCCACATTTTAGTTTCGATTTTTCAACCACTGTTAAAAAAGTATAACTCAAAAAAAAAAAAACAAACAAAAAAGCTGTTGTATCCCTTGACATAGGGTTTTCATACGTCTGGATTTACCCGGACATTTCTAGGGTGTCCGGGGAAGTCCGGCCGGAATTCGGAACAATGTCCGGAAAACTCCGAGATACCCAAGGATGAGGATGATACACACATAGACATATAATAAAAGAGGAGACAGAACATCTCATTCAAAAATCATTATTTGTTTATGTAATGTACGCACTTAATGCAATATTGTAAACCCAGCATTAGCGCCTCTTCAGCCATCAGCTGAGGAATGACAGGTCGAGTTGATAGATAACGGATATTTGTTGTTTGGTTGCCAGGAACCTTATTTTGTGAACGGTTTTGACTGTTTGACTGGTTTGAAAATTGCCTGAACTTTGGTTTCTGTTTTTCCACTGTTGACGCTGACATGCCTTGTGACTTAACTTGATGTACATTACTTTGTGGAAAAACTAACTTAGACTGTAGAGTTGACATTTCATAATTTAGACTATTTAGAGCCTCTTTACAAGCTTGCTCAAATTTTAATGAATTGTCTTTTGTCAATAATTTCTGTACGACTGACTCACATCGAATACCACAAACAAATCGATCTCTCAGAGCCTGGTCAAGAAAGTTCCCATATTCACAAGAAGCTGATAAGGTCTTTAATTGTACAATATAATTAGCAATTGACTCATCTGGTTTTTGATTTCTACAATTGAACTTGTACCTTTCAGCAATTACTGATACTTGTGGTGTGAAATGTTTTTCTAAAACTTCGACCATATCCTTAAAGGATTTTGACGTAGGGCTCTCAGGCCGCAAAAGACTTTTCAATAATTTGTAAGCGTCTGGGCCAAGCAAAGTAATAAATAGGGGACCTTTGTCGTCCTCCTTGAATTTATAATTCTCTCAGATCACCAGCCATTGAAAACCATTTTTGGGGAAAAACATGGGTTGCCTACGTTAGCTCATGCTAGGATACAAAGATGGGCTGTAACGTTATCGGCATATAACTACGAGATTAAATACAAGAAGGCAAGTGAGATGTCCAATGTTGATTGTCTATCAAGATTACCACTGTCCGAGATGTTTGAAGAGTGCAAGCTGGAGGAGCAAGTTTTCGCTTTCACGTATGAAGATAACTTACCCATCACAGCTGAGTTGATTTATAGAGAGACGAAGAAAGATAAATGTTTAAATAAAGTTATTGACAATATTAAACATGGATGGTCCTACTGCAATGACGATAACTTAAAACCATATTTTCAACGAAGAAATGAGTTAAGTGTAGAATGTGAATGTCTAACTTGGGGAAATCGAGTTGTAGTACCCGAATCCTTGAGAGACAAATTGTTGGATATGTTACATGAGAGTCATCCTGGAATGGTAAGAATGAAGCTGAGAGCTAGAAGTGATTTTTGGTGGCCAAATATCAATGATAATATAGAGCGCTTGGTCAATCAATGTCAAGCATGCCAAATTCTAAGCGATCGTGAAAGGAATGTCACCATATCAACTTGGACCAAGAGTGAAAAAAACTTTTCAAGAATTCACGTTGACTTTTATGACTTGGAAGGCTTTAAGTTCTTCTTAGTGGTAGATAGTACTTCAAAATGGTTAGAGATTTTTCGAATGAAAGGAACGAACGCTCAGCAAACAATTACGAGACTTCGCAAAGTTTTTAGTATGTTTGGTCTTCCTGAAGTCTTAAAGGCGGACAATGGACCCCCTTTCAATAGCGAAGAATTTCATAAGTTTTGTAGATCCAATGGAATACACGTGGTCAACACCCCACCTTATCACCCGGAATCGAACGGAAGTGCGGAAAAATCGGTTTCAACAGTTAAAAAGTCATTAAAGAAAGAGTTTTTACAGGATGAATTATATAGGTCGGTTCTAAAAATTAAGCATGATATGCAGAACGACATTTTCGACAAAGATTTATACCAGAAATGTGATTCAATTGATCATAAGTTGGATAACTTTTTGTTCAATTACAGAAATACTCCAAGTACGGTGACTATGAAATCACCAGCAGAGCTGTTATTAAAACAGATCCCAAGAACAAAACTTAATATGTTTCATCCAAAGAATTTAAAAGGAAAGCTAGAAAGGAAGAGAGAAGACGATGTTATCCAAAGAGAAAACTTAAAAAGACGAGAAAATAAAATGTATTTAATTAATCAGACTGTCATGTTATACTTAACACAGCTTAGAAAGTGGATTTCAGCAAAAGTTTTAAAGACAGTTGGAATCAACTCATATTTAGTGATGACTTCTGAAGGAAGAGTGCGATATGTTCATGCTGATCACTTAAAACCATCAGTTTTACAACCTCCAGATATAAATGGACGGGATAATCCTAGTGCTAGTGAGGCAGCTGTAGAAGTTATGGAAAACCCGGAAGTCTCTGAAACCATAACGGAATATCCTGTTGACCGGAAATCTATGGAAAATCGTGGTTTAAAAAATAATGTCCCATCCTCGATAGAAATATTAGAACCAAAAAGTCCTACTCCTACTTTTCATACACCTAAATCTCCTAATAAAAAAGATAAGGTTACAGTTTCTGATTATTCAAGGACATCTCCACTCTTGTTGCGTAGGTCTCAAAGACCTAATAGGGCACCTGACAGGTTGAACCTTTGATAATTAACAGGATCTTGAATAAAGCTAAGTGGAAAGGAATGTAATGTACGCACTTAATGCAATATTGTAAACCCAGCATTAGCGCCTCTTCAGCCATCAGCTGAGGAGTGACAGGTCGAGTTGATAGATAACGGATATTTGTTGTTTGGTTGCCAGGTATAACAATTGAGTTAATTAAAAGCCATTGTTCAAGTTGATAGTCTTTTAATGCTGTGTACCAAAATACACAATAGTTTACAATCATACGTACCACCAGAGTTATGCACAACTTAGAAAAAGATGGGCTTAAAAATTGGCACCGTTGTAACCTGCCCCTCCATTTCCCCGGTTGCCTTTATCAGAGGCGTGCGGTTTTTCTAGATCATGAAACATTAAGGGCCGGTACTTTTGCTCTCGATTAACGAATTTGATACGTTGTCAAAGTTTTGCATGGGCCAAGGTCTATAAGCATAATGTGGTTAGAGCACATTCTAAGCCCTGATTATTTTTAACGGCTGTCAAATGACAGCAAAAGTACCGGCACTAAGACTTCTAATTATACAATTAACCACCCCACTGCTTGGGCTGAAAAAAACATAACCTCACGTACCGTCGAATTACCAATCCAGAGTTAAAATAGGCATTTTTTTTCACAGATTACGCACTGGCGGATCTTTGTAGCTGCTAATGAAATATAAAAAACGGAAAAAAACACTGAAAATTGATTGAAAATCGCAACTATTCCCAAACACAGCACATCAACACTGGATAGTCAATTTTTGACATAAAATGAATGAATGTGTCAAATTCCGTGTCACTGGAGTAAACAGCGTTGCCACAGCTATTTCCCTAATACATTATAAATTTACGTTATTCAAAAACTAAATAATTTTAAAAGTAGAAATTACAGATTTTATTTGGAAAAACGCACATTCATAATGTGTAGTAACATTTTCAATTGAGATGACGCAAATAAAGCATGCAATATAATCCACATTCCCTACGTTTTCAAACACAGGCGGTGGATCTAAGGCAATCCGCAGAAATTCGCCAACATTGGTTTCTGGCGAAAACAATGTTTGATCGGCATAAAATGTAAACAATGCAGTCTCTCTTTTATTATATGTCTATGGATACACACTACTACTACAGGATGGCCTATCCTCATAAGGTCTGTGTGTAACAAACTTAGAGTAACAAATCCCCCCCCTCGCCCAAATACCAGTTGTGACCAATGAAACTCAGGCGGCATGTTATTTCTCGCCTCGTTTAAACAGCTGATGACGTCGGAAATGGTTTCACACATCCACACCAATATGGCGGCAATTGCCAAAAACAAGGCCGATAAGCACTCCTTAGAGTGTGTATTCTCCTTGGGAGATGCCTACCAGAAATTCTAAATTTTGTATCCTGGGGTATCAAGTAAATTGTATCCAGTATCCATTTATTCTGGATTGCCTATAGGATTGATACATGAGTTATTATATTTTTATCTCTTGTCATTGGTACCTTGTATTCGTCATTGTGTCTTCAGTCTAACGGAAAAATGCTCAAAGCGTATCAATTTCTTTATTTCCTACTGAACTATTATAACCATATAATACCTTGGTTACGATAATCATAAAAAGGGTCTCAACTTTTAATGATATCATAACATAACTCCCAAGGGAGTTAAGGATTTCCATAACTCCCGCTTTTACCTTGAATAGGTGAAACTTTGACAAAAAATTGAAATTTTGGTTTATGGTTTATTCCGAGGTTTATTCCTTTATAAAAATGGACAAAATATAGTAAATTCAGTAGGAAATAAAATTATCTATGTACCACGGCAATTATCAAGTGTAAATACCCATGGGCAATTGGTTAACACAAACTTTGCCCTGGGGTATTAACACCCTTATAATTCCCTTGATACATAATAGTAGATTATACCACGAGTCAATAATGATAGCTATTATTCCCGAGGAATATTTACGAACTGAGCCGCGTTAGCGGCGAGGGAGTAACATTCCGAGGGAATAATAGCCATTATTGCGAGTAGTATACTCTACTTTATTTACGACAAATTAATTTATTTAAATTTTCTTTTTAAAAACGCTCGTTGTTCATCCATCTTAATACAAATACACAAGCACTACGCGTTAGACACTGTCACTTTTGAGTTTGTTCAGGTATATTGTTTCCATGGTAGTACTACTTATTTAATTTGAGAAATTTTGTGATTGGTGTGCAAGCGGGATTAATGACCATTAATCCCTGCGGGAATAATGACCATTAATCCCTGCGGGAATAATATATGGCATTATGCTGCCAAAATCACAAATATAATACTTGCATTCTATGTCATTTGTAAAGAAATAACTATTAAACATTTATTTTTGCAAAAAATAAACAAAATTCATCCTTTGTAAAAATTTTATAGGCGAAGTCTGGATTTTATCCGCATTTCTTGACTCCTAGGTCCTGTATTCCGAAAAACTTTTATGGAAACCTTACCTTGACAACAGTAGGCATAATATAGTAACTTGACGGCAGACGGTGTATAGTGCACAATATAAAAAAACTTCCTGTATAAAAGTTGAAGGTCTTAATAAAATCTATTGAAATAGGACTTATGTAATTATACAGGGTGGCCCAAAAAGTTGTGCTACACAAAACTTCATTTTTTTTTTAATGGAATGACCCTTTTTTGATTACATTTTCTAATTCCTCTAGAGATTCTAAACAACAATTATGAAACATGTCATATGGCTAAACTCATTAGTTTCAGAAATAATTTGAGTTGAAGGACATAAATACGATAAGTACGATATTACCTACATTTTGCATTGTTTCGAGTTGGTTCAAAATGGTAACCAGACCTAACGCCCCTTGATTATTTTCTTTGGGGACATCTAAAAAATAAAGTGTTTGTGACAAAAACTCCAGATCTGAACGAATTGAGAAGAAGAATTATTGAAGAATGTGCATCTATTAACCAAGAAATGTTACAAAACATCAATAAATTTTATTATAACCTAGCCCATTGTCAAACTGTGGGAGGAGGACATTTTCAGCATTTAATAAAATAACGTCTTACACTTAATTTTATTTCTGTTCTTTCAAACTTATTGTTAATTTTACTTTACTGCTTATATTTAATAATTTAGTTATTAATAAAATTTTGACTAAACTTGAGTGAAGTAAATTTCATTTAACACAAGTTAAATGTTTTTTTTTTCCAGGATTTAACGTGAAACATTTTGAACCAACTCGAAACAATGCAAAATGTAGGTAATATCGTACTTATGTCCTTCAACTCAAATTATTTCTGAAACTAATGGGTTTAGCCATATGACATGTTTCATAATTGTTGTTTAGAATCTCTAGAATTAGAAAATGTAATTAAAAAGGATCATTTCATTTTAAAAAAATGAAGTTTTGTGTAGCACATCTTTTTGGGCTATCCTGTATAATTACAAAAGTCCTATTTCAATAGATTTTATTAAGACCTTCAACTTTTATACAGGAAGTTTTTTTATATTGTGCGCCATTTTCGAAATAATTGACTGTTCCGGGACTTTTTACACACTGTGTATATACATTTATTTCAAAATGGTATACTCGTATTCATCATTTGAAGATAAACTTTTTATTGAATCTCTAAGAGTCAAAGGTTATGGCGCAAAAAAGATTAATAAAAGTTACCCAGAGCGTAATTGGAAGTTAAGTACCGTTAGTTATTTTCTAAGACATTTACTTGAGACTAATAGTTCATTTCCAATGAAGCATGGAAGAGGAAGAAAGAAAACTGGTAGAAGTATCGAAACATTGGAAGAGTAAGGACAATTCTTGATGCTGTCGAACCCGGTAATACAGTAAGTTCAAGAAAAATAGCAAAAACTACTACCATTAAAAAATTATCAGCAAGGAGAATTATTAAAATTTATTTGAAAAATCGACCGTTTAAAAAAATATACTGTCACAAATTTTCAAATGATGAATAATAAAAGAGTAGAAAGATGTCAAGCATTGTTAAGAAGATTCAGACGACGCGAAGATGTTGGAAAAATTTGTGTTCCCAGATCTGTCCCTTTTTCTGTCAACTATCGAATAATGATACATGACATATCGATTTGACGTATAAAAATATCAGAATCGGATCTTTGAATTTTGATTTTCAAATTTTTGAGAGAGAGAGAGAGAGAGAGAGAGAACATACTTTATTGACCAAGAAGTACATATAAATGGAAATCTTATTGTCCAAGCTTAGGTTGTAAACATATTCTTAGTACCTAACTAAAACCTACTTAGAACTAATTAAACTAGTAATAAGTATCTGAAAGAGAGAACAATGTACGACTAAGACCAATGAAATGGGACACATTTAAATAATAAAATATAAAAAGCACAGAGCAAGGAACATTTAAAAATCTTAAAATGAATACATTTATAATTTAAAAAGGAGTAGGCAGTAAAAACAAAAAATCAGGTACAATTAACAAAAGTATGTGGCTTGACACCTATATATTCCAGTTAGAAACAGATTAAAATTAGCCACACAAGAAAAACCGTCACACTCAACACAACAAATAAGTTTTACTAAAAATTATGCATAAAAAATTCATCATACGAATAGAAAGCCAAACAACTATGTCGAAATTTTTTGAGGTCACTGATTTCTCGAATCTCCAGTGGTATGCGGTTATACATTTTCAGACCATTGTAAATGATAGAGTTCTTGACTAATTCCAAGTTGGGGATGGGTAGGCAAAGATCGTGTGAATTTCGAGTCTGATAAACTCTGCTGTTTGAAAAATGAGAAAGATGTTTATGAATGAGACACACTGTTTCTAAGATGAGGATGCAAGGCAAGGTAAGGATTTTATTTTCAATAAAAAGTGGTTTACAGTGTGCCCGTGAATGGGATTGACACATGAATCTAATGGCTCTTTTTTGTAGGATGAAGGTGGAATTAAATAAATACTGACTACAGAAACCCCAAAACGCTATGCAGTACCTTAGGTGTGATTCAACCAAAGCAAAGTAGGTGGTTCTCGCTACAGATTTACCAAGTTCCCGAGCAGTTGTGTAAAATCGTTTCAATTTTTTGCCGTTTTCTGCATTATTTTTTGATATTTTGTTATATTCGCAATCGATTTCTTTTCGGTTCTGTGCCTTTGTGTTTTGAAATTGAAAATACATTTTTATTGTGAAATTTATATCACTTTTCTAAATACGATCCTGTCGTTTATCCCAGCTGATGGAATCGAAGAGCTAACGCATGCTGGCAACCTAAAGAAAAAGTTACTAGAAATGTCAACGCGAACTGTCACCTTCACTTTTTATCGTGATTTCAACTATATATTCTAATGTACAAAGAATATCAGAAATATCACTGGAACATCTTCTGGTTCCCAGGGGGCATTTTTCGAAATCAGTTATGGTTTCTTTGGCTGTATCGATGCTAGGAAAAATTGAAATTTATTTTATTGACTCTGGAGTAAAAGTTAACTCTGAAATCTATCAACGGAACATTTTACAAAATATGCTTCAACGAATAGAAATAGTTAGCGACAACTAAACATTCTAGCAAGATGGCGCACCTAGCCATACATCAGCAAGTACTTTAAGATACCTGCAGGAAAATTGTCCTGACTTAATTGAACCAAACATGTGGCCTCCAAATAGCTCAGAGTTAAATCCCGTCGACTATAACATTTGGGGAACATTAGAGGAAAAAATTTATTATAATATTCAGATCAGTGCTATTGATATTCACAAGCCTGAAGAGAGAATAGTTTACTGTTGGCATCATTATAATCAACAAATTATAAATAAGTCAATTGGACAATGGCGCCGAAGACTCCAAGCTATTGTCAATAATCAAGGAGGTCATATTCACAATAGGTTTTTGTAAAATCATTGAAAAATCTTTTTTTTTATTATATTTTTCCCTCCTGGTAATTTGTTATCTAATAAACCCCCATTACGCTGTATGGTAATATTATTTAACAATGTTTTCGAAAAAAAGAAGTTTTTTTTTAATACAAAACCTGAAGTTTTTCGAAACATGTTTTCGTAGCCTCTTTTCTGATAATTTCCTAATATTTTCAAATAATTCATGCAGTTTTAGAATAAAAAATTTAATTTTGCAACATCCCCAAAGGCAATGATTAAAAATACTGCTTCTAACTTGGCTCCCCCTGTACATTTTGATCAGATATTTTTTCTACAATTAAGGAAAGGCCCCCTAATATTCACACAAAATTTCACAAAAATCCGCCAAATTAAAAAAAAGTTATTCAGAGCCAAATTGGTTTCCAAATAAATTTGGCCCACAGTGTATGTGAAGGATTAATAATAATGAACCCTGACGGCCATTTGCACCACTATAACTTAAGGGATATTAAATTCAAGTGAAGCTTTGAACAAAACAAACAAAAGTCACATTCAAAGCTCAACTTAGATTAAATATCCCTTAAGTGATAGCCGTGCAAATGGCCATGAATGATTCATTTTATTCTGGGAACATTAAATGCCTAGGAGAATTTACTTATCTAATTAAAAGGAATTCTAAAAAAAATCTCACCGCTAAGAGATCTATTCACTATAGACGACTCAGCCTCCTGCTTATCAAAATCATTCTCGAAAGTAAATTTGCTTCCTTTATCTCTTATTATTGGGCTCTCGTCCGACGGGACAAAATCATTGTCAAACAAAGACTTAGCCCGATTGGTGCCTTTTCTAGGAAATGTGTTAACCATAGGCTCCCCTTTAGCCCCCAAATTTTCCTTTGCTAACTTTTTTCTGCTGGCTGGAAGCTTTTTATTATTGGCATCCACATCGGAAGGAAGTTTTTTGGAAGCCATTTCTATATAATCAGATTCAACAGGTTTATGAGCTTTGGTTCTGTGTTGACCACGAATTGCTGATACTTCTGCTTTGTGTCGATGCGACGGTTCGCTAAATTGTGAGTCTCTACTACGTGATCTGCGTGCTCCTTTGTATCTCCTTTCTCTTTCGCCATCACTTCCAACTAAGTACAAAAATATTAAAAAATCTGAGCTCAAAGAAAAACAGTTTTTGACTTACCAGTTCCTAAATAATGACGAGATTTAATCTCTCCAGTCTTCCTATCTATTTCCGAGGCACTACTAGGTCTTTGCTTCCAATTTTTCTTAGCTGCTAAATAATGGGGTGAGTGTGATTCGTCCGGCTCATTTGAGTATTCATCCTCCCATGGCGAATCTTGAGATTCTCGACTACTTCTATACCTTTCATCATACCTTTCTCTTCTCTCTGTCATATTGTTTCTCCTTGAAGCATACCTAGCCGTTTTGTCTAAAAACATTGGCAAAATAAGTAACAATAAAGAAGACAATCTAATTTCCTTACCATGTTCACTTTGCTCCCAATCTGGACAACACCATCTATCTTTAGTCTCCTTAGAATCTCGTACACCCTCTCTTCTTCGTCGATATCTCCTCTCAGAACCATAATCATCCCATCTATCATTCTCCATCTCCCTACCACTATGCCTTTCAGAGTCCTTGGAACCATGTCTTTGGAAATAATGACCTCTAGATCTTTGTTCTTCGTCAAACTCGTAATCGTCTTCATCATCATCCCAACTATCCACATGCTTGACATCTCTATGCCTATCAAATGAATGCCCTCTAGGATGCCTTCCTGACCATCTAGGTCCACCTTCACGCCTGCGTGGTTCTTCTTCCCATGGACTGACGTCACGGGAACTAGAAGAATGCCCACCTGTTCCTTGTTGACCGCCGTGCTGCCAGCCGCCTTGCCTGCGCCTGCGCGGACGTTCGTAACACTCGTAGAATTCCTCATCGTAGGAATCTGTGGACCGTCTGTTTGAAGGATGATATTGACCTAGAAAATTTAATTATGGTAAACAGTTTTTCATGTCTTTTACATGTCTAATTATTAAAAATTCTGGCAACAAGGAAGATGTTGAGAATTACCGCCCTATTATAACACTGTTATCTCATTTTCCAAAGATATATGAATCACTGGTGAATGATTTCTTAACTGAAAAATTTAAAAAAATAATCATTCCAGAATACCATGGCTTTATCAGTGGCCGATCTATAACAACAAATTTGCTAGTGTATGAACGGGCCATATCGAAGGCATTGGAGGCCGCGGCCAGGTTGTAGATTCTGTCTATACTGACTTCTCCAAGGCCATAGGGTAAGTCATACACTATTGATTGATGGACAAATTTTCTGAATATGGTGTATGCGGTTCATTTTATCAGTAACTGCATTCTTATCTTGTAGGTAGGCGTCAGATCGTAAAGGTGAAGTCATTTCAGTCTGAGGTTATTGATGTCTTGGTGATTTGGGGTGTTTCATGGGGTCATCTTGTACCACTCCTGGTTTGCTTATTTATTGATGACATAGGGTCCTGCTTTCATCATGTCAATTTTTTATTATATGCTGATGACTTGAAAATGTTTAAGAGTATAAATTAAGAAGGACCAGATAGGGGAATGCAGGATGTTCTTCTGAGGTTTTGCAGGTGGTGTGTTAAGAATGAAATGACATTAAATAGTAAAAAATGCAAATGTATTCAGTTTTCTAGAAAAAATTCTCCCAAATTAAAACACTATTGTATAAATGATGATGTTATTGATAACGTACCAAGTATTCGTGACCTAGGTGTTAAAATCAATGCAAAATTGTCATTTCTGAACATAATAATGCATGTTGTAATAAAGCATTGAAAATGTTAGGTTTTATCAAAAGACATACAGGAGATTTTAAGAATGTTTCTGCTCTGAAGTGCTTATATGTATCATAGGTGCGTTCCCATTTGGAAAATAATAGTTATGTATGGTCACCACACACCACATTAAAAAAAATTATATTGAGTTAATTGAACGCGTACAAAAGAAATTCTTGAGATACATAGGTTACAAATTGGGAATACCATCAGATTGTATAAACTATAATCGTCTATTACAGAATATATCATTAAAAACATTAAAGCATAAACATCCGCCCAACTTGGGAGGCTAAGGAGGAGCGTTGGCAGCACACATCATAGGTCATCACCGAATACCCAATAAAGTGACGCTGACCAACCCTCCAAACCAAGGTGTCACGCGATTCGTGCCGAGGGATGCAGGATGGTGGGAGAGCAACGCCTCAAACGGAGCCTTGAAGATACCAGGCGACCTTTTCAAGTAACCAGCCTTACCACCTCCTCGGGGTCCAAGCCCGAGACTCCTCCAGAAGAAGAAGGAAGAAAAGAAAGGGAAAAGACTCTCACTGCGGTAGAGGAAATTCCCATCGAGGAAGAAAATATGCTTCTAGGCGAATAGGAGGCCAACACTCCACCACACCAGAAGAAACAATAATAACAGGAAAGATGGCGAATTATATCAAAATAGCCCAAGTGAACACACAACACGCTAGGGGAGCATCTGCTGCCATAACGCAGTTGTTCACGTCGGCACACTTGGGGGCCGTATTAATCCAGGAATCTTGGATATTGTATGAGGGGCAGATCAAAGGTCTACCAAGTAAAGGGGCAAAATTACTCTGGGACAGTCGGTGTAATGAGCGTAGAGCATGGATTCTCCTGAAACAGAACATTTAATCATTCATGTCTTTCAAAATTTACGTCGCGGGACTTGGTGACTGTTCGGGTAAAACTTATCACCGACCAACCACACCGCGACCTAGTACTGGCATCAGGTTACGTCGCTGGAAATGGGCAAGCACCACCAGAAGAAGTACAGAGACTAGTCGAGTACTGCAACAGGAATAGATTACCGCTCCTAATTGGCTATGACGCCAACGCCCACAATACCATCTGGGAAAGTACCGACACAAATCTAAGTGAGTGTTCAATTTGTAAAGCAAATGTCCTTGACTGATGCATCCCTCAAATATTATTCTTCTAACGAAACTTCGGCGATGCAAGAGGGGGACGTACCCGACCGGAACGCCTAGAGCCTTTTCTTATATCAAGATGCAAAATAAATATAATGCGCAGTTATTGCATAGATTTTGCTGTGGTTGGATTGAACAGAACATTGTAGTTTGCGTTCAAATTTCTCATTTTCGTCTAATAAAGGCCTAAATAGTTTTTTTCTCCAAACGTCAAAAAAACGTCGCTTTGTTAACCTCTGTCAAAATGTCAGAAATTTAATTTCTATGCTGGTAGGCAAATCCAGCAGGTTAACACCTGTCGAGGTGGTAGAAATTTAATTTTTCTCCAAACGTCAGAAAAACGTCACTTTGTTAACCCCTGTCAAGATGTCAGAAATCTAATTTCTATGCTGCTAGGTAAATCCAGCGGGTTAACACCTGTCGAGGTGGTAGAAATTTAATTTCTATGCTGCTTGGCAACCCCAGCGGCAGCAAAAGTACTTTTAGTGCCGCTGGAGCGGCAGTAGAAGTACTTTTAATGCCGCTCGTACTTTTACTGCCGCTCAACCATTCAGATACCCCTGAGCTTACACCATTCGTTTGGAGAAAAAATAGCGTGTTGCATACGGAGTAGAAGCTCTTTTTTGTGCTTCAGCAGTATTGCAAGCCTCACTACGTTCGGCTCGCAAACCTACCGCTTCAGCACAAAAAAGTGAAGCTTCTACTCCTAATACAACAATATACTATTCTATGCTGCTTGGCAACCCCAGCGGCAGCAAAAGTACTTTTAGTGCCGCTCGTACTTTTACTGCCGCTTAACCATTCAGTTACCCCCGAGCTTACCCCATTTGTTTGGAGAAAAAATAGCGTGTTGCATACGGAGTAGAAGCACTTTTTTGTGCTGAAGCAGTAGGTTTGCGAGCCGAACGTAGTGAGGCTTGCAATACTCCTTCAGCTTCTACTCCTAATACAACAATATACTATTTTCCTACTTTAAGTAGTACTACATATTATAATAGAACTTTCTACAACAGCTGAGAGTGGTGTAGCAGTTTCTACAAACTCCTCGACAAACTCTCTTCTTTTCGTCGTCCCTTCACACGTAGTGATTTAAAGAAATTTGAATATTCCTTTTGATATCGCCCATACCGTCATACACATTGTGTTTCAAGTATAGTGTGGATAGTCTTACAAACGATTTCCACGTGTTTTATTTTTTTCTAATACAGCTGTGTGTAAAACATTTTGGTCCTTCAAGCCGGATTTTTTAGGTATCCTAGAAGACTACCCTACTGTGAAGTTTCTACTGGAGAAATAACATTGGTGAACTCCTGTGAATTGGTGTGACAATTTTATTTTCCTTTTTTTGCATTACTAGGTCAGATTCGAGCTATAGACACACTGTTTATGAACACCCCCTATAAAGTAGGAACATGTTAGTACTGTAATAAATGAAAGATGGATCTTGAAAATTTAAAGAAATCCAGAGCCGCCACAAAGGGTTCTATTACTAGAATTGACACGTGGTTTTTGAATTTTGGGAAAGTTTGTTGCGACTCGGTTGATTTTGAAATTAGGTTAGACAGAATTCATTCACTTTTTACAGAGTATGAAAGAATACAGAATGAAATCGGTATATTGTCTAGCATAGAAAACCCCGATACCGAGGATAGAAGTTTAACAGAATATAAATACTTTTATCTTGTAAGTGGTCTTACGAAAAAAATCAGAACCCTTACTGAACCACAAAATCCAACACATGTGAGTAGTGCTGGTTCTCACCATAGTTCTCAAGTTTCTGATAATGCGTATCCAAATACAGCAGTAAAATTGCCTGAAAGTATTTCGTGGTGAGGTGAAAGATTTTGAATCATTCTTCCAATAATTGTTCGTGGCGCTAATTGTAAATAATAAACAACTCTCGGATATCCAAAAACTTATTTATTTGAACAGCTATTTAAAAGATGAACCCTTGCAGCTTATAGACTTATTAAAAATTGTTAATGAAAATTTTGAAGTAGCTTTAGGTATCCTTAAGTCTAGGTACGAAAATAAAATTGTGATTGTAAATGCTTATTTAAGTGCTATGTTAGACATTCCTGGCATATCAAAAGGAAAATCGAGCTTCTTACGTGAGTTAGCAACAACAGTACAAAAAAATATGCAGTCATTAAAAAATTTAGGATTTTCTGATAAGGAGTTGTGGAATGTTCTAATGATTTATCTAATCCAGGAAAAATTAAGACTTTAATACAAAAAAAGCTTTTGAGTCAGAAAGAAATCATTCTGAGATTCCTTCTTTAGAACATTTTCAAAATTTATTGAAAAGCGATGCTTAGTATTGGAAAGCATTGAATATTACAGTCCTAAAATGCAGATATAACATTTCTCACTCGGGAAATACTTCTGAGAATCAAAGCTTGGAGCAATCGCGTTCTCAGCCCGAAAACATATTGGGTAATTATTCACAAAATAATGATATTCTTCAAGATTCAATTCGGCAAAATACAAGAGAAAATACTACTGTCAATACAAGTAGTCTTTAGCTATAAAAACTTCTCATGTACTTTTAGCCACGGCTAAAGTAAATCTGATTTCAAAACATGGTGGAGTAGTGCAAGCAAAGGTTCTGCTTGATACCGGTACTAACTAAATTCTAAAACTTATAAAGTGACCCTAGCATTTCTGGTATTAGTGAAAATACTACTAGTTCGAGTGAAATGACCAATATCGAAATTTTTTCAATTTTCAATCTGCATAAAAAGTTCAAAATATCGTGCGCATTGCTGCCAAATCTTACCTGCAAGCTTCCATAGTTTAAAATTCTTGTAAATAACCTAACTATTCCTCAGGACGTTGTCTTAGCAGATAACGAGTTTTTTATGCCCTCAGACATTGACGTTATACTCGGCCTAGATTGTTACTACGACATTATTTTGTCGAACATCATAAAGTTAGGTCATAATCTTCCAGTCTTGCTGGATTCCCACC